CTACATGCAAAACAAGCTTTTTAACTGCAGTGCTCTCACTCCAGCCCTGTTTTCTCTCTCCCAATGTCCCCCCACCCCCACCCCCACCCCCAAACCCTTTAAAAACTACTCTTACAATCCCTCTCTCTGAATTCAACATTCAGAGAGGAAATAGGATCTGAAAGGGAACTTGCCAGCATCCCAGGTTAGAAAAGGCCAGATTCAAAGTCATCTTTATCTGACATCAGTCTGGGTTCTCAACTTCCACTGTGGCCTCAGTCCCTCTCCCATGTAAATGGCACTGTTTCAGGAAGACTCAGAAAACTGATTGCCCCCTATTCTGGAGCCTTGAGGCTCTCTTTTCTCCTGTCTTTGGGTCTCTAAGGAAAGTTCTGCCCTGCCTGTACACATCCAAACATTGGCCTCTAAAACCCGGCAGCTACAGTGCCCAGATAACAGAGAGAGAGAGAGAGAGAGAGAGAGAGAGAGAGAGAGAGAGAGAGAGAGAGAGAGAGCGCATCCACTTTCCAGTTGCTGAAAAATAGCCTCTATTGTGCCCAAGAGTCATTCCTTGTCATTTGAAATTGCTGAAAGCAGAAGGCTCCCGTGTCCACTGGGGCTGGGGGTGGGTTGGGGGACGTAAAATGAGGTATGAAGGGACTGGCGCAGACAGCTCTCTGTAGTGTCCAGGGTTTGCAGGCCCAGGCCAGGCTGAGTAGCCTTCACTAAGACTGGGGTCTCCAGGATCCAAAGTCTAGCCGTGCTGACATCATGTCCCTCCAGAGCCCCAGGGGTGCTTCCAGGGTCCTTGCTAGAAACTGCTGACCCATGTATCTCTCCTGGTCTTGGCCCCTTGGCCTCTCTCAGCCTCTTCCTCGACCTCTCAAACTTCTCCCCTAAACCAACCCAATATCCTTTCTGGCCAGATACTTTAATCAAGCGTAGGAAGAAGGTTTTCTTCCAAAGGTCTCTGAGATTATCTAGAAATACAGACCTTGGAGGCAGAAGGAAGCCAGAAAAAGTCCTTTTCTAGGGCACAATTATGTGGGCCCCCACATTCCCTCGGTCTTAGGAAAAGGCTGCCATACTCCTGGGGAGGGGGGACGGTTTGGAACCACACCCAGTGGTGCTCAAGGTTTATCCTTGGTTCTGTGCTCAGGAATCATTATATAAGGTGCTGGGGACCAAACCCAGATTGGCCACATGCACGAGTCTTAATCCCTGTTAAGGTATTTGCCTTGCACACAAGCCTGGGTTCCAGCATCAGCGCCCTTTACGGGTTCCTGAGTCCCTGGAGAAGTGATCTCTGAGCACAGAGCTAAGACTAAGCCCTGAGCATGCTGGTGTGGCAAAAAAATTTTTTTTAAACGGAAATAAAGAATATCAATAAAGATAAAGAGATTATAAAAAAGAGCCAAAGAGAAATTTGAAAATACAAGGGTGATTCAATAGCTGAGCTGAGAAGAAAGGAAAGCCGAGTAGGACACTTAAAAAACAGGACAACTGAAATAGACAAGGCTGAAGGGCAGAAAGAAACCCTATGAAGAAAAGTGAACACAGTCCAAAGAAATTTGTGGGAGACCATTAAGCAGATCAACATAGAAATTCCTGGAAGTACAGCAGGTAGGGTGCTTGCCTTTCATGCAGCTGACCCTGGTTCAATCCCTGGGAGCCCTCTGGGTCCCCATGAGCCCCACAGGAGTGATCCTTGAGTGCAGAACAAGAAGGAAGCCCTGCTCAACTGCTGGATGTAGCCCCCCTCTCAATAAGAATATTTGAATAATGAATACAAGTAGTTCAAATTTTGATGAAATTAATAATCTGAAAATCTAAGCAGCTCAACCAATTCCAAGTAGGAGAAACTTAGGAGAAACTGATATCAAGACCCATTGTAATCATTCAGTGAAAGAAAAAGAGAATGTTGAAAGTAACCCAAGAGAAGTGACTCAGCTCTGAAAAGGCAGCTCTGTAATGGTAACAACCAATTCTCACCCAAAACCACAATGCTAGTGGGCAATGGGATCATCTACTTAAAGTGTTGAAAGGAAAACATGGCAATGGGAGAACAGTCAGTAAGGTGCTGGGCTTGGACTTGACCAAGCAGGATTTGATCCCCAACACCTCCTATGGTCCTCCAACCCACTCCAGAAGTGATCCTGGAGCAGAGCCAGGAGTAAGCTGAACACTGCCGGGTGCCAAAAAGAAAGATGACAGCAAAGAATTCTGTATTCAGAAAAATATCATTCAAAATGAGGAACAGATTAAGGTACTCCCGGGTAACAAAAGTTGGGTGAGTTTGGTACCACGAGATCAGCTATATAAGAAGAGCTAAAGGGAATCCTTCCCTTGTCTTGAAATAAAGCAAGAACTTCTTTGCTCCTGATAGAAAATAACAAAAAGCTTTATAAAAATATAAAGATCAGGGCAGAATGATAGTACAACAGGTAAGGCATTTGACTTGCACACAACCAACACAGGTTCAATCTATAGCAACCCCTTATGGTCCCCCTGAGCACTACCAGGAGTAATTCCCAGAGTGCAGAGCCAGGAGTAACCCCTAAGCATCACCTGGTGTGGTCCGAAAACAAAAAATATAAAGATCTGGTATTGAGAGATAGTATAGCAGGTAAGGCTCTTGTCTAATAAGCAACTGGCTGGGTTCAATTGCTGTTACCACACAAGGTCCTCTGAGATCCTCAAGGAGTCATTCCTGAGCACATTCAGGTGTGGCCCCCAAACCGTTCAGAGGCGGGGGATGGAGGGGCCGGGGTGGTGGGGCGGGGGTTGGCAGGAGGGTTACTGGGAACATTGGTAGTGGAGAATGGGCACTGGTGGAGGGATGGGATTGCATGACTAAAACGTAATCACAAAAGCTGGTAAGTCTGTAACTATTTTACAGTGATTCATTAAAAAATAAAATTAAAAAAATAAAAATAAAAAAACAAAAAAAAGGGAGTCATCAGAACTGTACAGGAGCAGAGTTGTTATGTGCTCTTAAAATTAACAATCCAAATTTGTAGCTATAAATTTTATCAGCTAAGTGTAATCTCAGTGTAACCATAAAGAAAACAATGAAAGAACATATATGAAAGAAAGTGAAACTGAATAAAAATGGTTTATCATTTTAAGAATATAAGAGAAAACAGTAATGGAGAAATGAAAGTCAGAAAAGCTGTAAGCCACATAGAAAACAGATTCTAAAGTTTACAGGGAGAGGAAAAAGACCCAGAACAATCTACATAAAATTAAAGAGTACTGCTAAAACTCCAAAATTTATCACAAAACTAAAACAGTCCAGATTTGCCCACAGATTGGCCAGATAAATTAATGTAATAGAGATCCTAGAAATAAATCTACATAAATATAGTGAACTGATTTTTTTAAAAAAGAGCAAAATCACTACAAAGGAACAAAGATGGTCTTTTCAACAAATGATACTTTTCAGCATGAAGCCACATGCAAAACAAAACAAAACAAAAAAACTAGACTAAGACCTTAAATCTTTCACACACACAAAAAAATCCAAATGGATTAGAGATTTAAATGGAAATTTCAAAATATAAAATGCCTAGAAGATAGTATAAGAGAAAATCTAGATGACTTTGTTGAAAATAAAATTTAAAAACTCCATTAACAATGGCATCTAAAAACACTTAACACCTATAAACTAATTAACCAATGAGGAAACAGACATATACACTGAAACCTCCAGAACATTGCTGAAATTAAATAGAACCTAAGTAATGGAGAAACATGCTCTATTACAGATAAGATTACTTAATAGTTTAAAATGTCAATATACTCACAGTAATTAACAAATTCAATGTAATTCATAATTCAACTTTCCAACAACTTTTTTTTTCCAGAAATGGTAAAACTAAGTGTTTTTCTTCTCATCCAGTTTTTTTCATCTACTTTTTGGGGAATCAAAGGGTGAACGAAATACATGCTTTGTATATGGAAGCCCCGGCTTTGATTCTGGGCACCACCCCAAGCACGGAAGGCATGGTCTCCAATGGTTGTGGTCCAAAAAAACAGGACAGGGCTGAAGTGATTAGTTGAGTGTTTGCTTTACCTGTGGCCAATCATCTTTGATTCCTGGTCCCCCATATGGTCACCTGAGCCTGCCAAAAGTGAGTCCTTAGTTCACAGACGGGTAATCCTGAACACTGCTGAGCGTGGCCCAAAAAGCAAAGAGAGAAAAACCAAAAATACCCAAGGGGAATAAGATACATGAATGAGCCAAAATATATGAAAAGATGCTCAATACCATCTTCATTTAAAAATGTGAATCAAAACTACAATATTAATGCACATTAGGATACACACATACATACATACACACACATACACACTACAAGGATAAACCTTGTAAACACTGTACTAAGAGAAATAAGTCAGATAAAAAAGAACAAGTATTGCAAAATTTTCACTTACTTGAAATCTCAAGAATAGGCAAATTCATAGAAACAAAAAGTAGACTAAAGGTTACCAGCCGCTGGGGGAAGGGAGTAAGTGGGGCTTATTGCTTAATGGTTGCAGAGTTTGAGTGGGAGGATGAAAAAGTTTTGAAATAATAGTGCCACGTTGCTCAGCATGGTGATTATAACTAATGACACTAATATAAATCCTGAAAAATGGACATTACAGCAAACTTTGTTAATGAATATTTCACCATGATTCTTTTAAAACCTCAGCTAATAAAGATGAAAAAAATCACTGAAAACTACTAATCATTGCTAAATTTTATTTTGTATTCAAAGACACAATCAACCGAGAGAATTCTTTTGCTCTGTCAAATAAATATATTTAAAAGCTAGCAAACATCAGAGCAGAATTAAATGCCAAGCCTATAAAAGAGATGGGGGAAATTACTAATAAGTTATTTACAGCTATACAAAGTTAACATATTGCCAGGGAAACAAAATATAGATGTATTCAAAAACTTCATTTCCAATATCTGATACTTCAATTTTGAAAACATAAAAATTATTGTCAATCAAAACTCAGACCACATTAGCAATGGTTTTAAAAAAGGGAGCAATTTAATCATTATAATACAGAGTGTCTTAAGAAGTTTTTAAACAGTGTAAAGAAAGATCCATTTAGTGCATTAAATTGTTACAGTCTTTACATTGCTTCTTTTTAAAAAAGTTAACAGTAGTATGAAAAAGCCACCCACAAAGCCAGCTGTCTGAGTAAAGAAATCAGCAAGATTGCAGCATTTTGGAATTACTAATAAAGCTGTAGTTAAAAAATAAAAAGTTTATAAAAATGAAAGCAGCATGCATAGTCAAGGCTTTTTCATAACACTTCATTAGCCAGCAAACATTTTGGTAAAAAACAAAAGCTTTATATTTATTATTCATTAAATTAGATAAAATAAACTGGCCAAGCCCACTATATCTGGTCATTCAGAAAAAACATCTGAAAACCCAAAGCTAATTAAACTGAACATGTCTTCTATGAAGAAAAGCACATTTTGAAAAATGGTCCTATACGCCACAAAAGAAAGGGTCCTTCTCAACATGAATGAACAGCACCGGTCTTTACAGAGTTTGTAAACCAGTAAGACCTTTTAGTCTCCTGACATGGCAAGAGCTAACAGTTAACACTCCCATAATTCATAAATAAAAATTTAACATTTTAGTTTTTAGTCAGTCCAGAATTTTTTCTCTGTCATTGAAACCATTACGTAATGGAGAATTTCACTGACAGATAATTCTTAGAAATTCTGATCTGATGCTTGTACAAACATTTCTGATTTCCAAATGATTGTAAGAAAATACTACATATTCACTTACAAGATTGTTTTTCACATTAGCTTCATGTTTATTTCATTGTTTCACCTTATTCAAATTCATATGTCACTTTTCCTTCTTCAGTACTGATTATCTTCAGTTTTTAAAAAAAGCAAATTCAGCTACTAATGAGAAAATTAACAGAAGTATTACAAGTAGCAATACCAGTATCCACAAATGTGTTCAGCAAAAATATCCAATAATTAAAGTCCAATGATACCACAAAATCTTACTGTTCTAGTATGTCAATACTTAGCTTTCCCATGTACGTTAAAATTGTATAAGCCCAGGCAAAACGTTTTAATCTTCGTGCAGAACCTGATAAATATGACAGTAATAAATCAGGTCTTCTTTATTTCCTGTTTCTAACTCTGTAAAATGTTTGGTCACTCAAAGTTATAAGCTTAATCACATATCAAAGAACACAGGCAATAAAGCCCATCTTACTGGACATACAGTATTAAGCTTGACAAAATATGAGGACAAGCTTTAGTGGTCATTTAACCCCTCAGAAAATCTAAGAATTAGAATGTCTCCATCATATCAGAATAAAAATGTACTGTATTAAAATGTGAATTTTTACAAGTTGTTTTTTCATTAGTGTTCTATTTACATTACAGAACTTCCGCCAACTGCAGTAGTTTAACTTTGGCACAACATTAAATTCCATTTCTTTTGGGTACTGGATCCTATTCTTTTTCAGAATGCATATGCCCCTAAAATGTTTTCAGTGTCATCAAAGATTGGGCCCATTCACAGTAAATCAGACATCAAGAGTTGAAGAACTGATTCTCTTCCAATGTTTTAGGTAGCTATAAAAGAAAAATACAATAAAAAACCTAAAATTTAAAGAAAAGCATATTTTAATGTAAATAAAAATAAAGCAAGGCATCTATATATGCTTATATATGCATATGTGTGTGTATATATATATACAAAAACATTTAAATAGATACTATTTTTCAAAAACTGTGACTTTGTGTGAACTTACAATTACTAGAATATTAATGCTCAACATGAGAATACCCACACAAATTTAAAATAAGGTCAAACTAAACTGGACCCAAAAGTCCACAGTATTTTTAGATGATTGCAAATCCCTGAAAAATCACTGCACAGTTACTACAATTCATTGCAGCAACAAATTTGTTGATTTAATCTTGGCTGAGCACACATTCTTGCGTTTAGCAATACAAAATAAAAAAAGCCTGTTAAAAATATTTTATGCATCTGGGTCAGAAGAAAACTTGTCCTGAGAATTCCTGACATTGGGAAAAGGGGTTGCACTTCAGGACAAATCTGTAAGGAAACTGTTTACCTTCTTGTGACTTGAAACAACATATGAATATTCTAGAACCTGGAATGAGACTTATACTTGAAATGGGGGCATTTTCAGTGTCATCTGTCTGTCTGAAAAAAATAGTTACTGAAAAGAAACCCTGAAAAAGAACTGCTAAGCAATAAGAATCATGCCTGGTACATATTAAGCTCTCTATAAATAATTGTTGAAACAAAACAAATTAAGTCGGGGAGGAAGACAAGGAGGAATCATAAAAATACTGCACAAAATAAGACACCATGGAAGCAGAGAAGGGCCAGGGGGGCAAACAGCCCAGGACACAAGGAAATGGCCTCTTGTAAAACAGTCTAAGTCGATATCTCTCTTCTTCCCTTACTGCTTGAGAAGACTGTGATCATTTCTGATAACAAGATGCTTTCGGGCTACTATAAGACATCCATGAACATTTCATGGCAGCTGTATTGTTTTTATTTAAAAATAGTTTCATCTTGAAATACTCTAAAGCAGAAAGTAGAAAATAACAGAACTATGCTATTGAATTTCAAAAGTATGAAGAGCTGAAGTCCTAAGTCCAAACTGGTATCTGATTTGCAACTACTTCATCTTACTCAATCCATGAAAAGACTTCAGACTTAAGGAATATAGCAAATCTTTTCAATTTAAGGCTCTTACATATACTTCTATGATTACAGAGATATACTTTCAATCAAAGAATGTTACTGCTGGTAGTCGGTCTGTTTTCTGTCAAAGAATGAGAAGATATTTTAGGCCATGACATTAATAACAAATTTGTTGCTTACCTTTTGATTTCTAAAATAGGATCACTTTTTTGGGTTTGTTTTTGGGGCCATGTCCAGCTGTGCTCAGGGCTTACTTTTGGCTCTGTGCTCAGAAATCACTCCTGGAGGGCTCAGGGAACCATACGAGCTGCTAGGGATGGAGCCAAGGTCAGCTGGGTGCATGGCAAGTGCCTTCCTCACCGTACACTCTCAGGCCCCATGAAATAGAATCACTTTATATGAGTTTTAACTTACAAACAAAATTTAATAGATGTCTGACTGGAGAGGTTGTACAGTTTGTAGGATGCTTGCCTTGTACCTAACTTGGGTTTGATTACCTGTACCACATATGGTCCCCTGAGCACTTCTGGAAGTACCTTTGTACTAGGAGTGGCCCAATAAACATCTATTTACACATATGTTATGTAAATATATATGCCACCTAAGCAAATATAATTGCGTCCTAGAGCAAACCTTTGACTTTTAATAGAAAAATTAATTTTAACAAATAAATTACCTTAAACTTGTCAAAAATTGGTTGGCTTGCATGGAAGGTAATAGAATTAAGAGAAAAGATACCCATTTTTTCTTTTTGTTTGTTTGCACATGGGCAGAACTGGTGGTGCTCAGGGCTTACTCTTGGCTCTGTACTCAGGAATTACTCCTGACAGGGCTGTGGGACTAAATCCACTATGTGCAATACAGACACCTTAACCCCTGTACTAAGATACCCGTTTTCTCTTAGTTTCCCTAAGACTGAGCAATCCTCACCTCTGTGGTCTTTCTTTCGGTACATTTTTTCCCCTTCTAAAAAGTTTTCATCACTGCATTCTTTCCTTAAATGGCAAACGAATAAAGAAATAATGAAGCCTTTAATGAAGGGAGGGTTACAAGAAGTATACTTTAGTTATCTTTAGTGTTTACTTGTAAAACCCCACTAGAACCAATATTCCATCATAGAGAATGGGTAACTGTCCCTTAAAGTAAAAACATTTTGGGCCATCTCCAGAGAAATAGCACAGCAAGTGACCAGGCTTGAGTTCTATCCCTGGCACTACATGTGGTCCCCAGAGCATCACCAGGAGTGATGCCGGAGCACAGAGCCAGGAGTAAACCATGAGCACTGCTGAGCTTGGCAAAGAAAAAAAATCATATGGAAAATAAGTGAGGGGCCGAAAACAGCTCGACCAATGGTCTGAGTACATGCTTGCATACTGGAAACCTGGGTTTCAGTCCCTGCATGGTTCCCTGAGAACTGCGAGGGGCAACCTCTCAGCACAGAGCTAGGAGCAGCCTTGAGCAGTGTCAGGTGTGGCCCAATAACAAATGAGAGTAAGTGAGGAAAAATACTGAACCCTATCCAATAAATAGAACTGAACTTCAAAGAAGAGTCATAAAATTTAGGTTAGCCTCATGACACCTGCTCCTCTGATTGGGTTAAAGAAAAACGATTTGAGAAGGGAAGGATCCAAGAGGAAGATGACAGATGGCAGGCAAGGCTCTACAGGTATGTGGCCAAGCAGTGAGCACACAGGGTCACACCTACCTTTCAGTCATCTGATTTGGAGAGCTTCCGCTTCACGTGCCTTGGTGGTTCCCACGTGTCACTATCATCCGTTTCTTCTTCATCTTCTTCCTGGTCCTCGACAACTTCCTCTTCCTCCTCATTTTCCTCGAACAATTCCAGCCCTAGCTCAGATCTTCTCTGTCTCTCTGCGAACCACTCTCTCACCTGCTCGTAGCCCATGTGTGATTTGTTGACAAGTTCATCCAGGTCTTGCTCATTGAGAAATTTGTGCTTCAGGTAATAATCCTTCAGGATTGCCGTTCCAGTTTTAAACTTGATGAGGGAAGGGCCCCGATCCCAGTTGTTAAACCTCTTGCTTCCTCTCGGCCGCCCTCGGGGTCTCCCCCGACCCCTTCCTTTAGGTCTCCCTCGCCCCCGTCTCCTCAGAGAAGACAGACCATTCATACCACCTGAACTGGCGCTTTGATAGTAGTAGTACCATTTTAAGCTCCCATTTTTCCAGGCGTATCGGGTGTCCCCAAACCAGCTAACGATGTCTGTTCGAGCAAGCCCACTTTCTTCCGCCAGCTTGTCATACTCTTCTGGCGATGGCCACTGCGTTCGGACAAAGGCGCTTTTAAGCAGGTGCAGCTGCTCGGGTGTTTTTTTACATATCTTACCTGCACTGCCTGGCTTGGGGGCACTGGATTCATCACCGGGAGAAGTCTCTCCCGCTTCTTCTTTGGAACTCCCTACATGACTTTCATCCATTTCCATTTTCTCCTCTTTTAAAGCTTTGGATTTCTTCTTCTCCGTAAACCATGCATCGATTTCCCTCCGGGTGAGTTTGGTTTGCGCTCTTAGCCTGTTGAGTTCTTCGTCGGTGAGGACGGAGCTGCTGAGAAAGCTGGCCTGCAGGGCGCTAAGCTGCTCTAAGGTCTTCTCTTTAAACCTGGGAGGGGTGAAGTCAGGCAAAGGATTCCAGGTTGGCTTGTGCTGGGCAGTCACCGTGGTGGGAGACTCAGTGGTCTCATCGCTGGAGTCTATGACAATCGGGACGGAGGCATCGCTGTTGAGATGTGAGCCCTGATTGCTCTTTGAATTTCTCTGGTTGTACCTTGTGTCACTAAACCACTTTTTAATTTCTCCTTTGGTCAGGCCCGTGATTTTCATGAGTCTGATAATTTCGGAGTCGTGGGGAAACTGATTCTTAAGGTAGCTCACTTTCAGTTCGGCCAGTTGCTCCTTTGTCTTTTTGGCCCGGATGCCAAAAGAATCCGGGTTTGCCAAGGCGGTTTCGTGTTTGACCAGCTGAGGGGCTGGAACGGCTGCTGTCGCAGGCTTTGTCTCGGCCACAGGCTGGGCAGCGGGCACCTGACTTTTCTGTACACTGGTTGGATTCGGAACCCCCGCCACTGTCAAGGCTATAGGTGCTGTGACCGGCAAGGTGTTGGCCCCAGCGACTTGCGTCAGGACCAGGCCTGGCTGACCAACTATTTGGCATGTCTGTAGGATGGATGGTAACCCATTGCTCCCAGTGGAGATGTGAGTAGGAATAACAGTGATGGTCTGAGGTACCGTGTGGACTGTTCCATTGAACTGCTTTCTTCTGGCCTCCTCCACTTCCTCGGGAGTCCAGCTAACCCCATGTTTGAGGCGCTGGGCTGAAAACCAGATTTTGATCTGTTCCTCAGTGTATTTCGCTTGAGCAGACAGCACTGTGATTTCTGACATGGTTGGGTAAGGGAATTTGTTGTAGGTGTTCAGCAAAAGAGGGTTGTTATCCAGTGCAGCATTGTAGGCAGGAATGCTATTAACAGGGATTAAGACTTTGGGGATCAAGTTAGAGTTCTGCTGTGCCGAGACAGCCGTGATCACCTGGGCCAGGCCAGGCAGGACGGCTGCGGGTGTCACCACCGCATTGGCAGTATGTGGGTGTATCCTGTTGACAACAGAAGCACTCGTGTTCGAGTCAGAGGCTGAAGAGCTTGGGTTTTCGGCAGCTTCTTCACGGTCTGCTTTGACGTCACTCTCTTTCTCTTCGGAAACACCCTCAGCAGAGTTATGATGGACAGTGATCCGTTTGTTCTCTGCCTTGTTTTTCATCATCTTCATGATGGGAGTTTTACTGATAGATATTCCGGAAGAGACGTCTGTAGATTCTGCTTGCTCTGCATTCTCCTCTTTAACAAAATTGCCGTCAAAAGTCAGATCATTCACGGTTTGTTCAAAGATTGTCTGATTGTTTCGTTTCACCATTGTCAACTTAAAATTCTCTTCTCCAGGATGGTATTTCAGATTATGCTCAGAAAGTGCATCATACCTTTTGGTAAGAAAATTGCATTCAACACAAACGTAAGAAGAATTTAGCACGACATTGGGATGTTCTGAATCCACATGAAAAGTAAACATATTTAGATCTGGAGTTTGAAAAGTACAATATTTACATTCATAGCCACCTTCAACTTTTTTATTTTGCTGATTGTCAGAATCCACTGATTCATGAACTTCTTCGTCACTCGAGATACTCTCTGCTCTGGTGTTCTCTACCGGTGTGAGCACAGGAGGGCCCTCATCCACATCTGATACTAATTCCAGATCTGGATCCTGTTCGCTGGCAAGGACCATGCAGGGTACTGTTGATTTTCGCCTGCTTGCCATTATGATGGTATGGGGGAAATCTCAGTGGCGATTAAAAAGCTCTGCGGCTTAATGTTCATTATTCTTCACTTGAAAACGATGGCTTTTGGTTCTTCATGTTCGTCTTTGTGTTCAACCAGTCTCATTAGCAGCTTTTTCATGATGCAATCAAATAAAGAGCTTATTGTTGGCAGATAAAATACTGATGAACTGTTGAAATTTTTGAAGCACAACTCCAATCACCTAAGTTAAAATAAATTTTAAAATATTTTTAAAAGTGTGATTATGATCTCTTAAATTACAGTTATATTCACTAATGTGGAGTTGATGGAGAGCTCAGACATAAAGATCTATAATAAAGATAAGAACCAGGAAAAGGGGCTTTTAATATATCCAAAGCACAGACTCAACAACATTGAACACATGAAGTCTAAACTTTGTAATGTGCCTGTCAAGGTGGCAGGCATGGTGAGGGGGCTTCAGGCGGGGTTGGCAGGAAGGTGCATGGGCACACTGGTGGAGGGAAGTTCACACTGTTGGTGGAATTGGTGTCGGATAAGACTCAACTATCAATAACTTTGTAAAGCATGGTTCTGTAAACTTAAAAAAAATGAAAAAGCAAGATATCTCCATGCCAACTCACTGAAAGTCATGTACTGTTCCCACTGGTTAGCCCTTGCCCCACCCCCTTTTTCATTTGGATCTTTAAGCATTGTAGATATTCGAAATAAAAAGGAGTGTATTCCGCGGCTGGAAAGATAGCACAGCGGGTAGGGTGTTTGTCTTGCATGCGGCCGACCCGGGTTCAATTTCCAGCATCCCATATGGTCCCCTGAGCACCGCCAGGAGTAACTCCTGAGTGCAGAGTCAGGAGTAACCCCTGTGCATCGCCGGGTGTGACCCAAAAAGAAAAAAAAGGAGTGTATTCCTTGGCAAGCACACTTTATCAATATGAAATGATAATCTAAAAACAAGGGAGGAAAAAATAAAAACAAGGGAGGAATTTTGAAACTATGAAAAGGCAATCAGGGGTACTAGACACTAAGATCATTAACTGTACAAGAAATTTGACCCAGGTGCTGGAGAGATAGTATAGCAGGTAAGGCACTTGCCTTGCATGTGACTGACCCAGGTTCAATCCTCAGCACCACATCTGGTCCCCTGATTACGGCCAGGTGTGACTTTTAAACACAGAACCAGGAGTAAGCCTTGAGCATCATAAGGAAGGTGTAGCCCAAATACAAACAAGTAAATAAAAAATCCAGGACTGGAAAGACAGTTCAAACAGCTGTAGTTCATCTATTGTATACATGAGGCGCAGGTTCAATCACCATCACGTTATGGTCCCCTGAGCACTGGCATGACCCTAAGCCATAAGCTAGGAGTAACTCCCTGAGAAGACCCTCCCTGAGTACGACCAGGTGTGGTTCAAAAATGAAAAAGAAAGAAAAGAAGTAAGTCTATCAAGTCTTCCTTTTCCTATTGATCTGCCTGAGCATCCCCAAAGCATGCCCATGTATCGCAAAAGTAGCAAAGATGAAATATGAATGATGAGTGCTTCAAAACATGATTCTGATCATCAACTCTCTGAATATTACCAGACTTTATAAAACCCATCTTAATCTTATCTGTCACTCGACTTAAAGTTCCCAATGCATCCCTGAAAGAATCAAGTCCCAGCATCTCCAGGCACATGTAGGGCCCTTCACAAGCTGAACTCCGTCTCATTTCCCTGCCATTTCCCTCTTGACTCTCTTTTCTTTAGGCTCGAGGCAGAGCAGATATGACTGCTGTTCCAGTAATAGGAAGTAACAGTCACTTCTCAGGCAGTTCAAGTGATGCTACACATTCCTCTCCTTATGTTGCGGACACTGTGCTCTGTATGATTACCTTCTACCCTATGCATCATCATCTCCCTTCTTCCTGGCCTGCCAGCCTCATCTTTGTTTTCTAGTCTAGCACTACAGCAATATAGCAGAAGAATATTATCCTTCTGGCCCACAACTATCCATACCTCTGTTCTTATTATAGGAATAACCCTCCTTCTTTTTAGGATAACAACTTTACTAAGACAGAACAAAGCTCCCCAAACACTGGGAAAAATGAAGGACCTTGATATGTTCAATCTAACACATTTCAGCTGAACTATTTTCACTGATTTCTCATTCACTCTGCATCCTCTTCACATATGTGAAGCCTGGAAGTAGGGACTCATTAAATACTTATCAAGTTGTACTAGAATGAATAGAAAAGCACTTCTTCAAAACCCAGGGGCATCACCATGGAAAACAGTAGCTGAAATTCATAAGAATGGCCTTAAATTATCAAGAAAAAGAATGAATTTGCTCATGAAAACATATTTCAATGCTTTTATACTCCAAATATTTAAAAAAAAATTTGTGTTCTAACCTGTTGATTTGCTCCTGAAGTGTAAATGAAATGAAAAAGAATAGAATGAGGGTAACCTGGGTTTGATCTCTGACACCTCATATGGTCTCCTGAGTTCCCCCAGGAGTGATTCCTGAGTTTAGAGCCAGGAGTTAGCCCTGAACACTGCTGGGTGTGGTCCCCAAGCAAACAAACAAACAAACAAACCCAAAGAAAATGTTTGCTTCAAGGATTGTAAATCAAAACTAGGTTCTCTGTGAGACACCCACTGACTCAGTAAAGGAAGAAACATTTTTAGGAGACATGAATTAATATCCTGCCTTTAGAGGTGATAAAAGCCTCCTCACTGGGATCATTTAAATACACACTACCTAACCATTTATGAATACAAACAATAGATGCAAAGTTAAGATTGAACATTTCTGTTCCTTGATTCCACATTGATGCCAGCACGTGCCACCAGTGGCTCTCAGTGGGATGCCACATCAGTCAGACCATACCAACAGAAACGACTATTGTTGTCAAAATTTCATATTACACTTCAACCTGGCACCTCCTGATAAAAACAGGGGTGAGTGCCATACCCAGCAATGCTCAGGGCTTACTCCTGACTCTGTGCTCAGGGGTCACTCTGGTGGGCTTGGGGAACTATATCGAGTGCTAGGTGTCAAAGCTGGGTTGGCCCCATGCCAGGCAAGTTTCCTACCTGCAGTACTATCTCTCTGGCCCTCCAAAGTGGAACACTATTAAGGAAGCCACCAGATAGTGAGAAACAAACTACAGTGCCAATATTAATGTGCTGGAGAGCATTAATTAGGTTCAGTAAGAACTGCTAAAAGGAAGTGAGAGATGTTATGACTGACAACCACCTCAAATCTCAGAGAAATTGTATTTAATTGGGGATACACTAGGGCCAGATAAATAATACAGTGGGTAGGGCACTTGCCTTGCATGTGCCTGTCCCAGGTTCAATCTGAAGCACTACCAGGAGTAATTCTTGAGTGCAGAGTCAGGAGTAACCTTTGAGTACTGCTGGTATGACCCAAAACAAAACAGAACACTGTAGCACTGTCGTCCTGTTGTTCATTGATTTGCTCAAGCGGGCACCAGTAACGTCTCCATTGTGAGACTTCTTGTTACTGTTTTTGGCATTATTGTATACGCCACGGGGAGCTTGCCAGGCTCTGCCGTGCGTGCAGGATACTCTCGATAGCTTGCTGGGCCCTCCAAGAGGGGCAGAGGAATCGAACCTGGGCCAGCTACATGCAAGGCAAACATCCACGTGAGAGCAAGTGCCCTACCCACTGGGCTATCACTCCAGCCCAAAACAAAACAAACAAAAATACTAACTGGTATTTGCTAAAAGCTAGCTGTCATAGATATAAATGAAATGACATACTCAAAGCTAGCAGTCATAGATATAAATGAAACTTTTTTTAATAAAACTATCATGGCTTAAAGTGACAATTTTCAAATTTTTCATTGTCAACAGGGGAACCTCTGATTTGAATACAATTCTATAAGGGGGCTGGAGCAGTAGCACAGCCGGGAGGGCACTTGGTACAATCCCCGACACTAAGGATGATCCCCCAGGCCTTACTAAGAGTGATGCCTGAGTATAGAGTCGGGAATAAGCCCTGAGCTGGTTGTGGTCCCCCAAAACAAAATAACAACAACAACAAATTTCATGAAACAATCTATAACAAAATACAGGTGGAGTGTCTTTATGGCTGGGAAGCAAAAAGCCTGCGCTATGTCTGGACCCCAAACCACGGAGCCCTCAGCCTCAGCCTTATATAAGGCAAACTCCTTACCCACTATACTACTGCTCTGGCCCCATAAACAAATTTTAAAAGCTGAAATTTGGTGAGTTGAAATCATGAAAAGCACAAAATATCTGTCTATTATGGGCTGGAGCGATAGCACAGCGGTAGGGCGTTTGCGTTGCACGCAGCCAACATGGCCGACCCGAGTTCGATTCCTCCGCCCCTCTCAGAGAGCCCGGCAAGCTACCGAGAGTATCTCGCCCGCACGGCAGAGCCTGGCAAGCCACCCGTGATGTATTCGATATGTCAAACATAGTAACAACAAAAATCTCCAATGAGACGTTACTGGGCTCGCTCGAGCAAATCGATGAACAATGGGAAGGCCTTTACCTTTTACCTTATCTGTCTATTATACTGCCATTTCATGATCTATGGGAAAAAATTGTCCTTTTCCTTCAAAAGCACTGGTCATGGTCATGTAGTTTAAGTAAGTGCTTAAAAGAGAGGTTTCAATGTGCACGTGATCTGGGTTGGATCCCCTGCACTACGTGATCCCTAGAGCAGTAGAGGTGAGCCAGGAGGCCCTTGAGCCCCACCAGTGTGGTCCAGGGGTCCTCAGCACCTCAGGGTTTGAGCAGCACTACATCCACACACCCTTGCATTGACCCTCTGGCTTACTACACCGAGAACTGCCAGCGGGCTCTCTGGGCCTCCTGAGAACTGCCTGCAAGATTGTATTTTTAAGTTTTCAGTAATGCAGAAGACTAACACACTATAATTATCTTAAGTATAACAGATTGCTTCATCCTTGACTAACTGTGATACCTGACATATAAATCTAAGAAATACTTTTTTTTTATCTAGTCCTCAAACTTCTCGCTTATATTTTGCTAACAAAAGCAGTCAATACAATATTTGACATATTCCAAAAGGAAAATGGAAACTTCCAAAATGAGTCTCAGAATTTGGCCAGGATTTCAATTAAACCATAATGTACCATAATTCTACCATATAATAAATAAATAAATAAATAACACATTTGTGGCGGAGGGTCTTAGAGTCTCTAATACCATATGTTTTTTAAAGTCT